CTTTTAGGTGCGTTTGTAACCATAAGTTATTTTCAATAGTATTTTTATGCAATTTATGATCAAATTGTTTAGAGTTGGGAAGTAGCAACTTCAAGCATAAACACTTTGGTATTATGGGCCGGTTGTGCATCGCACAACCAAGAGATTCCTAGTATTTAATCATATAATTCATGATCCTTTATCTTTTTCTTCCTTTTGTGTTAAATATTCATATTATTCATATTACTTTTTCTTTTTATATTTTAGATGAACATTTATTTATTCTTCTTTTCAAACGAAAACTCAATACAGTTGTATTTTACAAAATTTTTATCTATATTATATCAAATTAATCTTATTTTCTGTGTTGTTTTTATTTGACACCAATATTTCATATAAAAATAAAAATCATTACCTCTTAAATATAAATTAAACTAATAACTATCATTCAAAACTAATATAAAATAATGATGTCATATAGTTTTTTATAACATAAAATATAAAATTAAGTTAAAAAATATTATTGATAAACATACAAAAATATTTTTCTATATTTTTTATTTGGTTTGAACTCTTATTATTAATAATTCAAATGTGTGCATATATAACAATATGATGCTACAAGTATAAGATTTTAAAAGATAGATTAGCAAGTTATTTGTTAAGTCACTATTCGAATTATTGAATACAGAAGTATATAATATGCGTAATATGCATTTCTTTAAATTAGAAAATACAAATATCAATTTCTAAATATCATAATTTGAAAAATATGAACTTTAAACTATAAATAATAAAAACCGAATAATAATCAAACAAGGGGTCGAAGACAGTCATGCTTGTCGAGGAACGCCAACGCACCCTCGTCGGCATCATTCTCCTCCGGCTGGAGAGGATTCGCCTTCGAATCCGAACCACCCTCGTCGTCAGAATTGTCCCTACGAAAAGGCACCAAGTGTTTGACGTTAAAGACATCAGAGGTGCGCACATGTGAAGGGAGACGAAGACGGTAGGCGTTCGGATTAATTTTCTCAATGATCTCCACAGGCCCAATTTTCCGGGCGGCTAGCTTATTGTACTCGTGGGCCGGAAAACGGTCTTTGGTCAAGACCGCCCAAACGAAGTCGTCGACGTCAAACTCCAAATGCCGCCGGTGCGCGTCTGCTCGCCGCTTGTATGCAGCCGTCGTGGCGTCCAGATTCGCACGGACCACGTTGTGAGTGCGCCGCACCTCGTCCATCAAGTCCTCGGCCCGCTTATCCTCGAGCCCGGTAGACGGCAAGGCGATCAAATCTGCCGGACCCCGTGGAACCATCCCGTACACCACCTGAAACGGGCAATACTGAGTGGCACGACTCAATGCCGAGTTGTGGGCAAACTCGGCTTGGCTAAGCCGGAGATCCCACGAACGCAAGTTATCCCCCAACGAGGCAGCGAAGCAAGTTCCCTACATCAGCCACACGATTCAACGTACCCGACCTGTGTTTGAGGACGAAAGTGAACTGCTGCAAGAACGTAGTCCAAGATGCATGTCGGGCAGAGATGTTGTCTTGAGATGAGATGTATCGTAACGCCTCATGATCAGAGAACAAGACAAACTCACGATGGAACAAATAGTGTCGCCAATGACATACAACCCGCACAACCGCATACAGCTCCACATCGTAAGTACTATAACGCGTCCTCGGGCCTGACAACTTCTCGCTAAAAAAGGCCACTGGCCGTCCCTCCTGACTCAGAACGGCCCCAATACCCACTTTCGATGCATCACAAGAGAGCTCGAAAGGTCGAGAGAAATCCGGTAATACCAATACAGGCGCAGAGGTTAGCTTCTCCTTAATGCGATCAAAAGCGATAGCGGCCTGAGGTGTCCACACAAACGACTTGCCCGTAAGGCAATCCGTAGTCGGGGCTGTGATGGAGCTAAAGTGTGCAATAAACCGCCTATAAAAAGAAGCCAAGCCGTAGAAGCTACGAGCTTCCGTGAACGACGTCGGAGTCGGCCACTCACGAATAGCGGTCACTTTACTCTCATCCACACGAACACCATCGGCCGAAATAACAAAGCCCAGAAACAAAACTGAATCCACAAGAAAGGAACATTTGCCCGGAGATGCGAAAAAGGACTCAGCACGTAAAATGAGAAGTACCTCGCGAACATGGCACAAATGCTCCTCGACGGAACGACTGTAGACGAGTATGTCGTCGAAATAAACGACGACACACTTCCCAATGAGATCACGGAGAGTCTGGTTCATCACTCGCATAAAGGTGCTAGGTGCGTTCGATAAACCGAAGGGCATAACCATCCACTCGAAAAGACCCTCACGGATCTTAAAGGCTGTCTTCCATTCGTCCCCCGGTCGAATTTGAATCTGATGATATCCACTCCGGAGGTCCAGCTTCGAGAACACAGTCGCGCCGTGTAATCGGTCCAGTAAGTCATCCAGCCTAGGAATAGGAAAACGGTAACGGACCGTTATCTTTTTGTCGCACGACTGTCCACACACATCCTCCAAGACTGATCCTTCTTCGGAATGAGAAGTGCCGGCACGACACATGGACTGAGACTCCGACGAATGGATCCCCGCTGAAGCAACTCATCAACTTGCCGACGAAGCTCCTCATGCTCTGCCGGGCTCATGCGATAGTGAGGACGGTTAGGCAACGAAGCGCCCGACACCAAATCAATGTGGTGTTGAATGTCCCGTAAAGGAGGTAAGCCGCTGGGGAGCTCGTCTGGAAAGACATAAGCAAACTCCTGAAGTAATGGTCGAATCCCATCTGGCGGTGAACCACCAGTAGAGGAGTCCGTACCGCAAACGAGAAGGACCATCGGTGCCTCGGGCAACTCACTGAGAAAGGCAGATTGTGAAAGAAGTAGCACAGACGATGAAGAAGGCTGAACCGAGACTGGTGGTGGAGAAACCGTCGGTGGCGGTGAGGCGTGCAAGATAATACGAACCCCCTGAAAGAGAAAGCCATAAGTGTTCAGTCGTCCGTCGTGTACCACCTCCCGATCGAATTGCCACGGTCGACCTAATAGCAGGTGACAGGCGTCCATTGGAACAATATCACACCAAATCTCGTCCTTGTACGTCTGTCCGACAGAAAAAGCTACCAACACTCGGCGATCCACCGTGACTGAGCTCCCCTTTTGAATCCAGGCGAGTGTATATGGCTGAGGATGGGGCTCGCTCGTCAAACGTAACTTCTCGACGGCTTTTGAGGCCACCACATTCTCACACGCACCAGAGTCAATCATGAAGCGACAAACCTGACCCCCGATGGTGCAAGTGGACTCAAATATGTGGTTGCGTTGTCCCGCACTTGCACCGGTAACATGTGGAGATAAAAGAGACCTGCGAAGGACCAATGCATGACCAACATCCCCCGTGACGTGCTCCTCCGTAATCTCCGATTCCTCATCAAAGATAGGTGGACCGGTATAGTTCTCCTGTTCGTCTACGAAAAGAGCCCGTGAATGACTTGCCTTCGGACATTGGGCCTGCCTATGCCCTGGTTCGCCACAAGTAAAGCATCTCGGAGTGCCCTGTGAACGAGTGTTGCCACCCTGCATGTTTCCAGCTCCACGACCGCCGAATGATGAACCAGTATGTGGTGGTCCTATAGTCGGACGCGAAGATGCTGTGGGAGCTGATGGTCCCGAGCTCGTTGGTGGAGGTCGTGAAGGAAGGAAAGTGGACGCCGGACGGCGAGCCTGCTGTTGTTCCACAAGCAAGGCACGTTGATGCGCCTCTGAAACGGTGTGTGTCGTAAACAGATTGACCATGTCCTGGATGGAAACACGAAGGCCGCCAACATAGCGTGAAACTTTTTGTTTTGGTGTTTCACGAATATCCAACCTTGCAAGGAGTTGATAGAACTCTTCGGTATACTCATTGACACTACGTTGTCCCTGTCGAAGGTGCTGCAATTTCTGATATAGTGTCTGGACAAAATTGAATGGCAAAAACTCCCTTTCAAGGCACTTACGAAACTTGTACCAGGAATTGATTCTTGCTTTACCCAGGTGATGCCGCTCGCTTTTTAACTGTAACCACCACGCGCCTGCTCGCCCACGAAGGCGAGTCGCAACCAGGTCAACACGTCTCTCGTCGGGAACACCTTTATAATTGAGAGCGGATTCGACGGCTGTCAACCAGTCGAGAAATTCAGCCGCCTCCAAACCTCCGGCAAACTCAGGAATTTCAACACGGAAAGTCGATTCCCACTTGCCATCATACTCCACATCAAATTCTGAGCCCCAGTCATACTCCACGCCATCATACTCACCGTCGGAATCTGTGCCCCACGCAGCGACCTCCCCGCTATCGACGACGCGTCTCCGGCCCGCCCTCAGCCTCACGCCAGAAATCACGTTCTCTGCAGTGGTGGTAGTCGCGTCGGCCGCCATCACATCGATGGCGATGGAAACCCTGGCCCCGAACTTCCTCCTGTTCACGCCGACGAGGGGAATCGTGGAACTCCTGCTGGTCGCGGTCAAAACCCTCGGCAAAAGGGTTGTCGTCGGACCATGTGTCATCGCTGCCGTCATTGGGTGGTGGAAATGGCTGGCGAAAACCCTCTGCAAATCCACGACCACCGCGGCCTGCCCTATGACCTCCGCGACCGCCTCGGGCTCCGGCGAAATCACGATTCGCGTGCCTCTCCCGCACCATGGTAGCCAACGTGAGACGAATATCTTCGATTCCCGTAGACAAATCAGCCACTCGACCGTCCATCGTTCCCAGATGATCTTCCAAACGATTAAAACGATCGTCAATCTCGGCATCTCTTCGTTTCGGCGGCATCGAGAATCGTCCCGGTTAACTGATACCAGATGATGTAGGAAGCGTACGATGGGATTTGTGATAACAGAGAAAACTCTCAAGAACGATATTTTATTTCATCATCAATAATCTCCAGAATGACCAAGAGAAAGTGTCTTATATGCTCGACACTTCACAACCTAAACATAAATAATAAAAGCCCAATAACACAAGCCCAATAATACTGAATAAAAGAAGCATAAATAATAAAAACCGAATAATAATCAAACAAGGGGTCGAAGACGGTCATGCTTGTCGAGGAACGCCAACGCACCCTCGTCGGCATCACCCCCATCAACCATTCATCACATGGTTGAGTGTTAATGATATTTGGTTAAAGAAAATGTGATTTGTGAGAAAGAAGGTGCTGCTCAATTCGCCTCCTTTTACCATATTATACCACACTTATCTTTTTGGGCATCACAACTCCACAAGTCAAACAAAGATATATAAATGTACTTTACTACACAGCTCTTCCAGCGTTTCCTATTTCTCACACAAGTTTTCACCTCGCAATATAATATATTACATGCTGCTCAATAAAGATCGACCTACGCTAACTAACATCCAAATCAAACTGGGTTAGAGGGCTGAGAGACTTGTGCACGCCACGAGAAGAATCGAATGTATATGGCATTAATAAGCACTGCCAATCCAAGTCCCAAGAATGATGAAATCAGGATTGCATGAATTGGTGGTAATTGGAGCTGTTATACAATAAACAATCTATTAGAGTATATAACATTTGAATGATAATTAAATACGCGCAGTTAAAATGAAAGGCTATCGAAAGTTTAAATTTTTCTCACCAATGTATAGAAAATATGGAGAATTAAGGCCACGAGTGCAAACTCAAGAGCTGCATAAGTCCATATATACTCTTTTATTGCTGCACAAGAAAATTAATTATTTGGATGACTCATATTTTCGAAGACCCTAGTACGAATCAATAGACTTTCCAGAACAATCCCGTACCGAGGATGATTGCAAAAATCGAGGCTGTAAGACCCAATGTAAAGGAGAATGGTGCAGCAATTATAAGAGCTTGATTTCTCATTTCCTGTATCTGCAAAAAGAGAAGACTTTAACAATTAAGATATGTAAAAAAAAAAAACCACA